CCCCCCGACAAAAACCCTGCCACGCAAACCCAATACATGAGGTGAGAAGAAAAGCCCCCCAGAACACCTCCACAGAATGATGTCGCTTACCAGCAGGGTGAAAAACAAAACCTCCTGAATTGTTCTGCTCGGTTCTTATTCTGAGCTTGGGACCAGTTGCAGAGAAAAAAATGGTGTAAGATAGCACTGAAGACAACTGTTTACAAGACTTTCCACCAAGGTTTCAGTCTCTGATACTACCCATCTGTTTCTCTGTCAGTTCTGGTACCTTCACACATAGCAAGTCTTATTTGCTCTCCTCCTGCCAGTTCTTTTTGGGACTTCATGGTGAGGTTGCTGCTTCATCTGAAAATCAGATGGCTCAGTAGAGAAGAGTGTTCCTAAAAATGTGGTGTGCTTGGCGTGTGCCATTTATTTTGGTGAAAGCCTACACAGGAAAGATGGTGTGAGACCTGTATAGCATTTAGCTCTTGAACAGCAGGGAATTTCTCCTGAAGTGGTCTGTCTGCATTGAAACCTGCTGTTTGTATGGATACCTGTTGTTTTAGAAATTAATGTTTCTGAGGGGGAATGGCCAAGGTTTTCCCCAAGGTTTTCCAAGGGCGGTTTTGTGCATGGCAGTGCTAAAGGCTTTCAAACACTCGTACAGGCCACAGAGTCGATTCAGTGAACGCAGCAAAGAAAAATCTCATTTTTCATTCTTTCAGTATCTTCTAATACCATTTGCAATTGTGGTTTTATCATATTCAGATACTTTTCTTGCCAGGAAACTTATGATTCTGCCATACTTTTAGGCAGCCAGCCCTGGAAAGTTTACTCATGCTATGTAGTTATGGTAATTCTCAGAGGATGTTTATTGTTTGGAAAACAGAGTTCCATACAGGATGAGAAATTCTTACTACAATTAGTTCCCAAATTAATGTATCACTGTTTAATTAGATCCAGATTTGTTGGCCTATGTCTTCTGTAGAAGAAACACATTTCTTTTTTCTTAATCTGTGGTGGCATCCGGGGGCTGGGACACCTCCTTATGTCATTTTAAAATGCACAAAATGTGTGCACAAAACCACACATGGATTTGCAAAGTCAGACTAGTTTGTTACCTTCCCTGTCCCAGAAGAAAATGGAAGGGGACAAATTTGGAATGGCCAAGGTTTTCCCCAAGGTTTTCCAAGGGCGGTTTTGTGCATGGCAGTGCTAAAGGCTTTCAAACACTCGTACAGGCCACAGAGTCGATTCAGTGAACGCAGCAAAGAAAAATCTCATTTTTCATTCTTTCAGTATCTTCTAATACCATTTGCAATTGTGGTTTTATCATATTCAGATACTTTTCTTGCCAGGAAACTTATGATTCTGCCATACTTTTAGGCAGCCAGCCCTGGAAAGTTTACTCATGCTATGTAGTTATGGTAATTCTCAGAGGATGTTTATTGTTTGGAAAACAGAGTTCCATACAGGATGAGAAATTCTTACTACAATTAGTTCCCAAATTAATGTATCACTGTTTAATTAGATCCAGATTTGTTGGCCTATGTCTTCTGTAGAAGAAACACATTTCTTTTTTCTTAATCTGTGGTGGCATCCGGGGGCTGGGACACCTCCTTATGTCATTTTAAATACCTGTGCACAAAACCACACATGGATTTGCAAAGTCAGACTAGTTTGTTACCTTCCCTGTCCCAGAAGAAAATGGAAGGGACAAATTTGGATGATGGGCTTGATAAAGTGTGAAGGTGTGGCAGCTCCTGTACTTTTTTCATAGAGAGGAAAAAGAATGAGGGAGAGTAAAAGGAGATAAGGATGTGAGAGTAGAGACACCCTTTGCATTTTTTTTATCCCCTTGTTACTGAAGAGTGATGATGTAAGGGACCATCTAACTGCCTCAGCATACCAGAAGATAAAAGGCTTGCTATTTTTTTAACTGATCTTCCGGGCTGCCTGTCTCCAAAACTAATGTAAGCGTGTAGATGTTGATTGTTAATACATTTATGTGTATTCTTTGTTTATCGGCATATTTATCTTAATTTTTGGTTAGTTACATTGCCTTTCAGAGCAGGTGATCTCACAACATGCATACCTCATAGGCAGGTTATTATAAGTTCCAAAGTCCTGAATGCAAGTAATCTAGTCTTCTGAAGCAGAAGACAGTTGGCCGTCAGAGATGGAGCAGAATCGGGTGTAATTCAGGTACATTCAGGGCACCCAGTCTGTCACATCGGTTGTGCTAATATAGTCGAGCCAGGTCAAAGTGACGTACAGGCAGGCATGGAGGCACAAGCTGCTGTTTGAGGCACTGCCAAAGGTAGGTACCACAGCTGCTGAGTTGGAGCCCTGTAAAGGGATCCATGCTGGGCCAAGTAGGATCTCCTCTCTTACTGTATTTTGGAAGTCTAGCACACGTTTGAAACACAGTTTCATTCTCTGGATTTCCTTCCTCTGAAAGAATGGAAAAATTCACTTACAAAGCTTGTGTTATGTCTCTGCAGGATATGTATTGTAACTCAAATGCTTGTATACTGTAGCAATAGTAACTATAAACATTGTTCGATGTGTTCAGTGTCCTTTGGATTATGTTTTTTAATGATGGAAGTGTTCTTTAAATGTCCAGTATTCTCCTCCATGTTGGCCTAATGAATTATCTGCTGTTTGCAATTGCTATACACCCATTTATCAGTCTGGTCTTCATAATTCACACCATACCCTCCCCCCCTAGATATTTGAATTCAGTTTCAGGCTGTAAAAATCTATAGATCATTTCTGTATTTTTGAAAAAGGCGCTTAAAATATTATAAGAAGAGGGAGAACATCTCATCATTACAATATGCATATGACGTTTGCTAGGAAATTAGTATAGTGTATGAACAAGCATCAAATATAAACACAAAAATCTGCTAAAGTCATTAGCCCAAACTGTTTATACTAAATATGTATTTATGTAGCATATGTAGAAGTTAAGCTTTGTGAGAGCTGATCATAGCAGCCTCCGGCTACTACGCCTTTGAGATACACCCGCTGTGTAGAGGGCTGGGGCAGGCGGGGACAACACGGGGCTTCTTCCTTGGCGCAGAAAGCCTTTTCCATCCTCTGGCTGATTCAGCAGCAAGCCCGCTGATGCTGACGGAGGGTGGCTGGCTCTGCTGGGGAGGGCTGACCCATGCCACTGGGGACACCGTCGGGAAGGGGACCCGCAGGAGCACAGCAACACATCTCTGGCCAAAGACCCTTCTGCCCAAAGCGTGGCCGTGCTAATAAGCAGTTTGGTGGTGGAGGTGGACCGTATTGTTGTAACCAGAGTGATATAAAACAGCCTTTGCTTGCTGCCCTGTAAAGCTTTAAGGATAGGGAGGGTTTCCAGGGTGACAAAAATGATGTATCACACAGGTCTCCACTTAGGACTTGCTCAAGGCTTTGGGCATACCTCCACCCAGATGCTGTTTGTGAGAAGTGGTGAGCAGCAACTGAATCACTGTCTTGACCGGAGTGAGTTTACCTCTACGATTTTTGCTCCTTGAGCCAGGGAGAGCAAGTACGGCAAGAGATACAGCAGACCAGAAAACAAATGGATAAATGGAAATGCTGCAAAGGTTTCCCACAAGTGAATTCATTTTTCTGAGTTGCCATGCCCTCAAAGTTGTAGGATTTTTGTGAAGTTAACTGTAGCAAATGACTATATAAAAAAGGCCCCAAAGAGGGGTTTTTATGACAAAAAGTGTTTCAAATATTTAAGTGTTTGTAGTTAAAGATACGAAGATATTAATTACTATGCCTAAAGCCAGAGTCCAGGACACTATAAAGAAGAGAACAAGAAATATCACGAAAGTCAGAATATTCAGAGTCAGCTTAAACTTGTGGAAATACATTTTGAGGATTTGAGAGCGCATAAAATATGTTATGTTTGCCTTCCAGCATCTCCTCAGATTGCCCATGTCAGGTAAGTTGACATTTGTGTTAGATTTTAAACATTTTTCAGCTTCTTTTTTCTTCTTGATGGAATGGCTGACAAACACCTGATCTAACATCTGTAAAAATCAGTGGAACTTTTCTGGCTGCTTTCACTGGGCTTTGGGTCAGGTTAATGTATAATTTTGGAGAAGGAGTTATACAGCCAGATTTATCTCTAATTACGTAGCTGGTAGATGGAAATTGTAAACAGCGGCAGCTACATGAGGATCTGCTGCTACGATGTGGAAAGAACAATTGTCTCTTGACAGCCAGGGGAAACATGAGAGATGGGAGGGAAAATTTGATGTGCGGAAGAGTGATTTCTGCTGATGCACTTCTCTGGGGAGAGAATTCACGAGTTTCTGATGCACTTTTTGAATAGAAAAATAGTGTTTAGTAATGTTGGGCACCTCAGTTTTGCAATGATTACGCTGACACACTGAATTTTAGATAATACTGGATACTGTCCCTCTGAAAATCAGCTATTTTTGAGTATCTTCATGTTGAACATCCAAACTAGGAAGTTGTTCAAAATCACTGGTCAGTTTTGAAAATCTTGCCTATTAAATGTATACATTAATGCAATTAGAAACAGCAAAAAACTTCAATATGCAAACACGAGACACTGTGTAAATTTCAAATAATTATGAAGTAATTTGTACTTTAAAAATTAGTTATTTTCATATTTGTTGTCATTATAGGAATGGTAAAGTAAAACAACTTTAGCATGTGCAAAAGTTCTGAATTCATATTAATTAAGAAAAGCTCAAAGAAAACTGGCTCCCTGGCAGTGTATGTATGACACTGGGCTCTGTGTCAGAAAACACCCCAAAATTACATAGGCATACCTGTTTGCTAAAGACTTCAGTTTGTATTTGTGTCAGATGCTAAATGGTAAAGCTATTTCTGTCATGTTTTAAGCAGCACGGGTAGTCTAAACATGTTCAATAGGTCTAGTGACCTTTTACTGAGTAATGGAAAACTTTCAGCTGTGCCAGTGCAGTATATTTATACCAATATTATTTACAGGTCTTACCCTTCTTGCCACTACTTCTTAGAACTGTCCTTGAATGAAAAATAAATGTGTCAGGTTTTTAATACAATTAAAATGGCTATAAATAGTCTTAAAAATAGAAATGTATTCTTAGCCATGCTTACTTTAGCCGATTGCTGTGTCTTCAGCAACTGTTGTTTCTGTGATGGACTAACATAATCTGTGAAATGGTTCTGCATCACATAAACCGATGTGTACTCTAAATCAAGTACCCGATAATTTGAAGATAAAGGTTTTGAAATTCATATTCATCTATTGATTATTTATTTATTTGCAGCTCAGCTGAATCTTAGGAGCACACTGAGGTCTGCCAGTTTCTTGGGATGCATCGTGAATATTGCTTATGGAGGATTCCTACAAGCAGTGTATGTGTGGTGACTGCTGAAAATCCCCTCAAAAGGCAGAGAAGTTGCCGGTTACTGGACAGTTGTAATAACAAAATGCACAATAACCCAACAGAGGACCAAAAAAACCAGTTTTGTGAGGAGCAAATTTAGCAGATAGTTTGACCTTTTAATTATTCCCTTTGAATGCTGAGCATGTATCATTTGGATCTGAACTCCCCAGTCCTGATTTCAGACAGTATTTTTCTTTAACCCATTCAGGCACTGGAAACAATCTGATGGTGTAAGTAGGGTTAACTGTAAAAGCGAACAGAGCTGAGGATCATCAGCGTGCAGGAGATGGCACCATCCCTCAAATCGCCGGGCTCCCCCTGTGAAATGACGTGGAGGCTCAGCCCTCGGCTGAGGATCCTCGGAGAGGACGCACAGTTGCCACCATTGTTTTTGAGAGGTCTCAGAAAGCGGTCCCTGAAAGTTGTTCAGCACCTTTGGGCAGGTAGCGCTGTCAAAGATCCAAGTCATAGAACTGATAATGTCAGGAGTAATTGATTAATTCTTGTCTGTTACCAGAGGAGACGGGCAGCCATCGATATTCTCTGGTCACCTACGTGTAAGGCTGGGAAGGTCTCAGCTGTCATATAACCTGTTCCTGCATCCCAGAGAAGCAAAGCTGTATTTGGGGTGTGTCTGACCCTTGGTTTTCTTACCAGTTCTTGTAAAAGCTGGAGCTTCGGGTTCCATGGAAACGTGCAGCATTTACACCTAGAGACATTCTCAGAGGATCTCACTTAAACCCTCCTTGCTGAAAGTGATGCTGTTTTGTTCCAACGCTACCTTCAGGTAACATGGAGAACAATTGATAGTCTTTTTTGTGTTTTTATATACCAGACAGCTTATCATGTGTCCTACCTCAGTCTTCCTTTTGTAGACTAAACATGCCCACTTTCTTCATAGGTCCTGTTTCTTAAACATCACACCATTCTTGCTGTTCTCTGGACTACATCCAGTCAACTTACCTGTTCCCTTAAGGGTGGCATCCAAAACTGGGAACAGCATTACTGCTCTGACCTCATCAGGGCTAAGCAGAACAGAATAAATGACTTCCCTAATTGACCCGGAACTGTAAACTTGGCTTTCTAAGTTATTACTGTGTACTGTACCACATCTCAATGGATATGTGTTCAAAATGCCATTTGCTTTATAACCATAGAGCAATTAACATTTGTCCCTAATGATACACAGACAGTCCCTTCTTTTCCGTAATTCTTTTACTTTTCAGTCAGGTCCACCTGGACTTTTAACTCACCAACTCTTTGTATTGGAAGCCAGTCACTAATTTATACACTCAGTGAACAATATGACTTTTGACTGATAGCTGCTGAAGGAAGAAGAAAAAGACCTGCACAAAGACTTCTGGATGAAATGAAGAAGTTATTTTTACACTGGAGGTGGGGAGCGAGGGTGGAGTGCTATGCCAGGACTTCAGGTTGCAGCTATTTCCAGTGAAGTGAATCTCAATCTTTCACAAAGTTTATTTAAAAATAAGCTATACTCAGATCTTTGGCGAAAGATGTTAGAAAGTTAAAGTGTGCTTAGTTTTCAAACTGTGTTGTCTGATTATCCTAGCTGGCCTGACTTCCAAACTCTCTTGAAAATAGACCTAGTGTTTTTTACTTTTTACGTTGGACAGATATCTGAAAGACCTGAATCATCCCTCTTAAGGAAATCATTGCAGATGGAAGGTGGAAATCATTACATCTTGGGGCAGTAATCTGGTACAAGCGCATATCCTCACAAATTTTTCCAGGGAATATTCCACCGTGAAAGAAAAGTTTGCTCTATAAGAATAGGGACCTACTCACTCCCCGTCTGTTCCAAAGGGCAATCTGTTCCTCAGAGTTCTTCGTGATTACTTTTCATACAGGAATGCATACTGAAGAGCAACTAACGGGCCAAGTATACGCGTGATGAGATTTCCAAGCTCAGTGAAGAGCAATACAGCTCTCCTGGGTTTCATGTAGTCCCTGTTCATGGTATCTGAAGATCTTTCTCCATTTATACACAGAAGATGTGCAAGAGGCTGGGGTGCCCAGTCCTCACTGAAAAATTGGTGTTTTGTTTTGTTTGTTTTTTTTTTATTCCAAAGTAAATGCGTGGAAGAGGGAGATTGTTGGAGTTTAGTTATTTGTGATTAGGGACCTCATTCTGCTATGCCTTTCTGATGTGTAAAACAGTATTATCGTCTTGGGGCAGAGCCAAGATCCAAATTAATATCCTGTCTCTGAGCCTGATTCAGAGAAAGGGGTGAAAACTCGAGATAAATCTGACAATTAGAGGTAAAATTAAAAACAGGAACACAGATATGTCTTTTGTTTTGTTTTTTGCTTTCTGGAGATACTCTCAATCATTGTAACCATAGTTTTTTGTGTGTTCTCTACATGTTAAATTTCTGCTTCCTTTTTCTTACAATTTTTCAAGCTCGTAGAGTGCCTTAATATAATTACATGCTTAGAAGAGCATTTCCACATCTCAGTTTTCGGCATCCACCCTTTCAATTGGGTTATTTACTTCCCTTCTGTATATAAAACAAAGAGGATGAGAAATGTAATAAATAAATGATAACGTACCTGTGTCATTTCCATCCTCATTGTTCTGTCCTTCCTAAGGTCTTTAGTACGTATTGAGAGGCAAATCCTGGCCTTCCTCATGCTTTTTGGTCTCCTCTAAGCCCTGCTGGGACCTCACGGTATTACTCTTTATTACAAACCCAGAACAGGAAAATAATCTCTGACCTCAAGTATATTTTGGTATCATGTGACTCTACTGGTATATACCGTATTCCCTAGGAGGTGATTCCATTGATACACTGGAAAGCACGATGGTATTCTGGCTACATCTTCCATTCCTTTCCTGTTGAGCTGTGCCATCATCTACTGAGGGCTGTGATTCACAAATATGCCATTAGTTAGGGAAACACACAGATGCTCTTTATTAAGGACAGTGCATCTTTTAGCCCCTTGCAAAACATGACTCCCTTCAACACAATGCTTTATTGTTTTCCTGAATTTCAACTTCAGTTAGAATGCATTGTTCTCAGGGGTGCAACTTGCTGGAGCAGACTGATTATTACGGAGCGTCAAATAGCCGAAAAGGGACAGCAAAGGAAACAGCGTTCTTGCTGAAGAACTTAATTTCCCTTAGTATTTGCCGAAGTAGCTAATCTAATTTATCGGAAAATGATTAAAAGAATAAGACATTGTGTAATTTTATTACTGAGGTTTGTAATTGAAGTGACACAAACATGTCATCCTTTAGCTGGTGTAGCTTTGACTTTCCAGCTTTCGATTCCTGTATTTAAGGTTTTCTTTCTACATGAAATTCATAATTAGCAGGACTTAAACTGCCTAATTCTCTCTGCTTCGGAAACTGGTAGTGCTGTCAAAGTTCCTCATATACCTTGCTAATTAGATACTTGATCATAGAATCACAGGGGGCTTGGTGGCCTTGCAAATAATAAAAGGCCTTTACAATCTGCGAGTGATTTAAGTCAGGCTGAAAAATACTGCTTTTACACAATATCAGTTTACATTT